GCTCTGCTTACAAAGTGACTTGTATATTACCATAGGATGAAGTTTTTGTTAAAGACTAAAAGTGATTGATCTATGACAGACAAAGGGGTTGGTTCTTGCAAGGATCTTTCTATCAGATACTCCATGTGTTACATACATGAAAATGTCATCAAAGTACTTAAAAATTGGAAGGGAGTTAAGAAGAAAAGCAGTTATCAAAGCTTGATCAGTTTGGATGCCTGATGTAACAGGGAACTCAGTTACTGCTCTACTCCATCTTCTATGGTGGAGGAGGATTTACCAAGGCTGAAAAATAAATTATTCCAACTTTCTCATAAAAACATACTTTGAAAAACATCATTGACTGTGCACTGACCAGTCATTGATATGCCAGTGACTTTCCCATATTTTTTTTCACATTAGCAGAATGAAGTTGCTTAAAGGCCTACATGAATGTGCACAATTCACTTGTTGCTAGGCTGTCTGCTGGAAATGTTACTGTCATTTTTGCACAAGATGAGACTCTTTCTGACATGCTGGAAAATATTCTGTCTTCAAAAATATTCATCCTGAAAGCAGTTAAAATATATAAATATGTTCTTGTTAATCCTTTTTTTATATATATAATTCTTGCTGTTGCTGGACAGATGATTCTTTATGACTACAAATTGTAAGTTTTGGAGGACAAGCTTTTCTCAGTAACTCTTGAGATAGAAAAAGTTTCAGAGCACCTGAAATAGTGAAAATTATTCAATGAATGCAAATGACAGCTTTCATCTTCCTTTATGAAGCACATGCTCATGAATATATACATTTTTGCATATTCAGAAACTCAAGTGTATTTGCCTTCCAGTGAATGAAAGAATAACGAAATTATGTATTCAGAACTAGTTAAAAGTTGGGGTTTTGTTGAATTCTCCAATTTAATTGAAGTTGCTTTCCTGAGATGGAACATTGCTAAGAGGCTGCCACATTCAAGAAGGGGGTACTATTATCCCCATCTCTTTCCATCTAAAGGTTTTGTCCTATTTTAAATACCACTGGTGCTTTCAGTGATATAACAGCCTTTTGGCAGTTCAGCACTGTCTGTCTTCACAGTCCGTCCATCTAACGTAGCAGAGCATGAGAAGCTGGTCTCCTAAGGGAACTCCAACAATATCGACAGGCTTGATTGACATAAAAACAGTCTCTCTCTTTCACCTCCCCTGAACTCTTGGAGTAAATTCAGGGCCTGATTGAAGAGAGATAGGGCTTTAGCCATTGACTTCCATGGGAACAGAATTTGAACACTAGCAACTACTGCCCTCTGCTAAGCAGCCCTGAATATCTTGGCAAATGCTGTTTAGAAGCACTATCAATTTGATCCCGCTTCCTTCTCAGGACTGAAAGCCAAGTTCAGGGCTATTTATGTCTTATTAACTAGAGCAGGCTTTGGAGGGGAACTACAGCAAGCATTTAAATCTTCTTCTTGAAAAATGGGTTATGGCTTAATGAACCTTGTTCAGGTTAAAGCTGTTATTTATTCTTGATATTTCTATTTGTTACTGTCAGATAGAAGTCAAAGGAAGAGCAGTACCTTCTATCTCAAAGAGTTTATCAGGATGGAATAGCCTGAAATTTGTCACAAGTGAATCGATTCTCACTTTTCTAACAGGAAAATACCAACAGTAGATTTTCCAGATGTGCTTCAAAATGCCACACATGCTCAAAACTTTGAGGATGTCAAGAACCTAATAAAAAGATGTGCTTATTTGTTCAAAATATGAACATCTGCAGATATCCAAATTACATTTTCTATTAAGTCAGCAGTACAAAAGGTGAGAAAAGAGGCAGGGGCACAGACATTTATTTTCAGTCTGTGTGTTCACAAAAAACAAAAGGAGAAAAGTGAAAATTCCATCCAGAAGTTGATGAGTGCCCATCTGGAATAGAAGAGAGCAAAACCAGAAGTTTATAAGACTTCTGTTTTTTCCTTCTTCCCCTTCTGAAGTGTTTTTGGGGAAAATATCCCCCTTCTGCTGTAGACCTTTGATGTTCATGTAATGCTGATATTGTTTGAATTGTTTTAGTCAATATCCATAGTACCTAATTGTGATTATTTTTTTTTTGTCTGAAGTAATTTTTCTATTTTTAAAGCACTTCTGACATTTCATAAAAACATTAAAAAGGAATTCCACTTGGAACTATTTTGCTGATACAGTGGAATAGGATATGCTTTTCCAATATCTTCTGTTGCTATTTATTGGATTAGTAAGAATGATGATACTAATGTCAAACATTAATGTGTATGTAATCTTGCAAAGTCTAGAGAAACTTTCTTACAAGGGATTTCAAGAGGGCTGAAGTAAACCAGAGATTCCAGTTCTTCTGTTTTCTTAGAGACACATGTTTGAACTCCTATGACTGTTACACTCTACCTTATTTCCTGAAAGAATAAATTATTAATTTGATTTCTTTATATTTTGAGCTTGGTTACCATAGTGGTTTCCAAGTGTAAACCATTAAGATCTACATTCCTTCAGAGCTAATAAGATGTTTTTCCTCTCTTGCTGGATGTAATATGCCATGTACCTGTGATTTTAAAAAAATACCCAAACAACCAAAAACCATCTTATCTGGTCTCTGTCCTCCTGTCAGAACATTTTATTTTGGTCTTTTTGGTTTTGTTAATGTTGATCAAAATAGATAAACTCTTCCCTTAGAATTCCCCTCAAGTGGCTGTATAGGAATATTACGTCCCATGCAGAAACTTGCCCATGAAGGGCATGATACTGTTGCCCTTTTTCAGCTTCTTCCCTACCTCCTGAAAAGTCTGTCTGATGTTTTTGACATTTTTTTCTAGATGGGGGGGATAAAACTGTTTGGCAGTTCTATTCAATCTCAGTCAATTTTAGGAAGCCCCCAGTTAACACATAAGAGGTTGTCAGATGGTAATGCTGAATATTGGGAAGTTCAGAAAAGCAACAGCTTCCTGTTTGTGGTTGGCTAATATATAAAGAGAATATGTGGTACACCATGTGACTTCCTAGCTGGCTCAACCACATCATAGTATATGGGCTAATACCACATGTGTACGTTAGCAGGTCATTACGGCATGTGTAAATATCCAATGTGCAGATTGTTTTTGGATGCTCCTTCTAATGGTATCATATGTTGCTTGATAGTTATTCAGTGCTTGAAACAAAAAGCTTTTGAAGCTTCAGATGTGACGTTCAATAGATCTTTCTCTAATGCTGGCTTAGCACCTGCTCCTCCCTCACAGTCACATCAAAGAGAATTGTAAGTAACTGATTTGAAGTCATGCAGCATCACACTGTGGAGTAAAACTGGTGGAACTGCAGGGCAGTCAGCCCTGTAAAACCTCTCTATCGGCAGAAAGAATCTCTGCAGACACCTGGATGCTTTTAACCCTTCATTATTTAAAATTTAAAATGGTTGCCTGTGCATAGCTTCTACTAGAATCTGATACAATAATCGAAGTCAGAGGTGGGGAAGGACCTCTGGGGTCACACAGTTGAGCTTTCTGCCAGTAATGGATTGTTCCCTACAGTTCAGTTTCTAGTGAGTTTGGAAATTACTAGCCTGGTAAAATGGTAATGAAAAAACAAAGCTTCAGGACTAGCCTAAGTGATGCTGTCCCAATGAGAAACTGTCTTTGATGTGAGATTCTCTAGCTGTGTTGCTTCTTCGTTGCAGTTTTGAAGTGATCTCAGTTTTAGTCTAAGCTTTCTGACCCGTTTTGAGCTGGCTGTAACTGTGAGATTGGAGGAGGTGAGCTTCTTTGAACTTTACGTTTACTATGACATGAACTTTAACCAAATCTTTAATTTTATTACAAATAAGTCAGCAACTTATAGTAAGTTATAATAACTTACAACTAATCCCCCATACTGCAACATTTCCTTCATGTCCCTGCACTTCTATTCTTACAGCATTTCTAGCTTCCCAGAAACAGGAAGAGAGGGAATAAAAAGAGGTTTCTTGCCTTTTTCCATCAAAACCCCATGGTATTTAACTAGAATCTCTATTTATTGTGCTTGGGAACCCAGAAATTCCTGAAAAAATTCAGATGTGACACGTTATTTATAATTTTTTTTCAACCAGGCAAATATTGGTTTACTTACCTGTTGATGTACATAATAAAGAACAGTCTTGACATACACCTAATGAAGTGGGTAGAATTTGGCCCCTCTTTTAAGAAGGAGGTTGCAAAGGCAAGTGTGCATTGGTGAGCTAATTATACTTTTGGCTGAAAAGTATTTTAGAAGGCATTTAAAAGCTGGGTAGGTGGGTAAAGATCCTAAGGCAGTTTCCTTCCAGTTGTACCCATTTGCTGCTTCACTAGGGGGTCCAATTATGAGCTGGTTTTTGGGGTGTGCAGCTCTTTGAATATCCTTTCCTCCTGTGGCACTGGACCCCTGACTATTGTAATTGCACACGCCTGATCTCAGTTGGAGAGGAAAGGGGTTTTTCTCAGCTGCCAACTTGCTTAAAAGACGGTTTAAGAGGGAAAGAAAGCTAATCAGACTGTGCTTGGCAAAAGTCTCATTTTATTCTGTTTATTCCGATTTTTAAAGGATTGGCTGCTGAGAAACACAAAAGAGTGAGAACACTTATTCCTTAAACAGATTCTTGCGACATTTTTACAATAAAAACAGAAAGCTGCTTTAGTAAAGCACTGTTTATCCTTGCACTAATGCTGGTCATGAATACGTGTCTAAGTTAGCTGGAACTAATGCCTGACTCTACTATTCCACTACAGCAACTTCACATTCTGCGTAGGCTGATTATTTTTTCAACAATATTTGCTACATTCTTTTAAAGGCTGCCAGTATATATTTTTTTGAAGCTTAGTTAGTAAGAAGAGCTGCCAGTGAAGTCAAGGCTAAAAGAGGCAAAAAATATCTGCAGAAGGCAAGATTTTACTTCAAAAGATCAGTATTACAAAGCACCACTGTTGCTGGTATAATCACTTTCTGGGGGGGGGATGCTAATATAGACTGGGTTTCTTGTCTTTGCAGCCCCCACTGAGCCTTTGCTGTGCAAATTTGCTGATGGAGGGCAAAAGAAGCGCCAGAATCAAAGCAAATACACACAGAATGGAAGGCCGTGGCCCAGAGAAGGAGAGGTAAGTGCCACGTGGCAATTATTTTCCCGGGGTTTGGCAGAAGTCAGCTGCAGACCTGGAGGCCTCCCTTTCAGAGCTACAACAAAATCAGATTGCATGCAGAGTAAAATATTTTTTTCACAGAGAAAGCTATATAAGCAAGGGGGAGAGGGAGTTTTATGAAAATGTGTGGAGTGTGAAGTTATGGAAAAAGAATTTCAGAGCTTGGTGTGGAACTCTGTGCAGCCTTGTCCCACTGTGAGTGGCCCGTCTGCAGCCAGACCTGAGCCCAGTGTTCTCTTACTGGTGTGCCATCAGCAACTGTGGCATACCTTTTATAAATCCCATATCCATTTACACTTATACAACTCAACGATGTTATTTTCTTCATCTAGTTCCTGCTGATAAAACGTCATCAAGGAGTAGCTGGATTGTTACAAAAGGCAAAAGATGGACTTGCACATCAAAATGTATGGTCCATGTAAAAGTTCTTGAAAAGCTTATCTGAACTGGGCTATTAATTCTGTCCAAACAGTTTACACTAACCTCATCCCCATCATGTGTGCAAAGTTAAAAAAAAAAAAAATCTAATGGTTGCTTTTTGCTTTACTGCAAATAGTCTTTTACTAGAGTTTCCTTTCTATGTAAGTGCACATGAAGTGACTCCAACTGTGGGTGAAATAGGAAAGAAATGGATTAGAATCTTCAAGGGTTTGTTTACTCTTCTTGAATGTTACTATAGGCTAATGACACTTGAATATATGATGTAGATTTGGTCTCATGCATGATTATACCTAGGACGGCTGAAGGAATTGTCCGAAACACCTAGTCATTGTGTTGCTGAGGGGTTTGGTTTTTGTTTGGGTTTTTGGGGTTGTTTGTTGGGGTTTTTTGAGGGTGTGGTTGCTGTATTTACTGCAGTTTCACAAAGCAAATAAACAAAAGGTGTGTGGAATTTCTGAGTTACATGTTTATAGAGGGTTTCTGCTTTTTTGTTAACTACTTGAATTTTTAGCTAGTACTTCTAGCTTGTGACATATACATTCTATCACAACGAGCTTCTAAAACAAGTAGAAAGATGTTTTGAAAGTGTAAAAGTTTCTCCCTCCAGCAAGGTGGTTATCATACACTGTTCCAACAGCAACACTCCAAAATATTGTTTGTTTTGTGGGCTAAAGGTGCCAGCGTGGCAGCTACATTTGCAACAAGACATTAAAGAATTGTCCAAAGGTTTGTTGCACTCTTTTACATCATGTCTCAAAAAATTGACATGTCTTCTAAGGAGCCATTATGGTTTGTCATGCTAAGGATCTAAGGAAGAACAAGTGCCCAAGAAGTACTTCAAGCAGTAGACTCAGATCATCATATTCAGAGCTTCAAAAACAAAGTTCTATAATAGGAGACAATAAAAAACCTTCAATAAGGTCAACAATCCATATTTTAAAGAGCTCTAAATCCCTGTTTAAATAGTAAACACTATCAAAGCTATTATCTCCACTGTTCTATGCTTCCTTCAGTTTAAATCAATAAACATGAGAGTATAAACTAAGCCAACAAGCCACCATTATGTCTATGGCCTGAGGGCATCAGCTCATTACAGTGCATAGTTCACTTGCTGCTAGTGGAATGGCTTATTTTAAGCACAGTGATATCCCCATAGCCTAAAGGCAGGGTGTGGTTGGTGTATTTATCAGACTACTTTTCAGTGCTGGGAGACATCATTCCTTGATGTTGTTTACAGTCAACTACAGAGCTGTTGTCATGCTCTAATCTACAAATGTAGAAAGATTGTACACATACAAACTCAGAAGTCTTTCAGGCTAGAGTTGGTTTTTCCTTTCTTGGATTTTCTTGTATTTTCTCTGTTGAGTTACATCTCGTTAATACCTTGCTGCACATTAGATATTTACTACTCAAAGCATCAAATACAAGAATGCATATTCTCTTTTAGGGTCACTCATTTATTGGATTTCTTCCCCACCTTTTTCTTATTTCCAATGTAAAATCCTTCTCTGTAATTTCTCTTATATTTTATATGCAATAGTGTTTTTCTAATTCTTTGTCCTTTAATGATCATACTCTAACCACAATTCAGTTCTCTGTGTAGCAGCACTCACTTCCTACAATTATTCCTGTCAGTTCTGATTTCTTTAAAAAAGAACAGGCAGTGAGTAGTGAGAAATAATTTTTATATATGACAAGTGCCATAGTTCTGATTACAAATGGGATCTGGAAATATTCCCTGAACCTCTGCTTTTACTTTGTTGCTTCCCCAAAGAGAAGCTTTGAAATACTGTCCAAGAGATTACTCCCTCAGTATGTCTACCCTGGCCAAATCCTACAGTATCTAGACCAAGATATATTTGGCTGTTGTTCAGATAAGCCTTTGCATTCTTGAATACTTATATGAAGGACATTTTGAAAACTTCTGAGGTTTAACCAGCATTAATGCTGAGCGTGCGTGAGGATTATTGCCGGGAAGAACAGACCCCAGAGAAATGGCACTAACAGTTCTGTCACTGGCCTCAAATTTGAGTATGTGAAACAGAGAGAGGCAGCTGTGCCCAGTACTCGAAATGGCTGGAGATTTTGGAGGGAGAAGCAAAATCTTTACCTCTCTGGCCATGTTGTTCTGAAAGGTTTTGCACGCTTTTATTGAGAGCTTCTGACAAATTTTATAAGACAGGATTCCTTTCTATTTTGGTGAAGCTTTCAGGCCATACTACAGACTGTAGTAGAAAATCTTATTCCTATCATATGTTTTTGGAGATTGCTTCATAGTCATATAGAAATAGTTTAGTTGGCTGTTAAATTGGCTTCCCTTTTGAACTCAAGTCTTTAGGAATACACTGAATTTCTCTAGGGCTTTTCAGGGAGTTTTTTTGGTACTTGGTTACTTGGCCAGTTGTAACCAGGGAAGAATGCCTGACCTTGAATAGCACTTTCTAGCCCTTACCCTTCCACTCTTGTTTGAAGCCTCAGGAAATGCTCTGCAAATTTACTGAGGCATTTGACTAAGGATTTGTGATGGCTGACCAGTTCTGGACTAAGGAGCCAAGAGCTTAATTTAGTGATGGCTTTGTAAAAGGCTGTCAAATTAGGCATCTAACATACAGGTGAAATAAAGGTATAATGAAATATGCAAAGGTTGGAAATATTTACAATGGAATTCTGACCTTATAACTGAGTTATTAGTTTATTTTTTAATTTTTATTTAGGGATAGGGTTTTTTTTCCCAGTCACAGCAGTTTAATTCAGCACTCTGTTTTGAAACTTTCTCTGACAAGATCATGTTGAGATGGTGACAGAGGGTAATCATATTCAAATTCTGTCTGTAAAAGATGTTATTTAATTTACCTCTAAATTGCGATAGACAAGTCTCAAGGTGGGTGGTGTTCCTCAAAAAAACCTGTTCATTAGCTGAAAATGCATGAGGGAAAGAATTGGTACAAATTGAGATCAGATTGGATTAGAAACTGCAACTTAAATTTTACAAGATAATATTTTATTGCAAATTTACTGAAACTTTGTTTTGGTTATTCAGAAATATTTTTTTTTCATACGTGTGCTTAAGAGAGAGTTTATTTGAAATCTATCTGGTAGAAAGTGAGAAATCTCACAAACTGAAAACAAATGAAATATTTTGCATCAGCCCAAAGTTTATTATGCTTTACATACTTTTAGAAAATACAGTTTTAGAAATTTTGGCCTTTCTATATCTGGTAAACCCAGAGTGATAAAGGTGGGGTTTTTACAGTCACAAATTGTGAAATCTTTGATACTCCACTTGCAAGTTTCTGTAATATTTAGACCATATAATACTTGCATTGTCTTTCTTGCAAGTGAAAATCACCATTACAGGATTGGTGCATATATCACAACAATGACATGCACCATTGAGTGCAGCCCCTTTCTCATTTAATTTTATTTTTATGTCTATATTATTTAATAATTGCTACCACTTATTCTACTGATTGTTTTCTTCTTTCTGTAATCTGGGTTACATTTTTGTTTCTTAATATCAAAGAGGCCAACCTCTATTTCCTCCCCTTTCTTCTCTTCCTTCATTCCCCCTTTCTCCTTTATTTTCTTTCAAGATCAGCTGGTGAAATATCTAAAGAATTAAACATGGTTTTAATTTTTAATTTTTTATATTTTCTTTTATTTTTAAATAACCTAGTAGCTTGGGAATGTTGCTTTTGTTAACAGTTTATCTTTTTATCTATCTCATGACAATTTTGTCTACCCCAAAGAGTCATTTAGAGAGAAAAAAATAACAATGGGTAATTTGAGAGACTTCCCAATTTTTTTTTTTGTAAACTCAGAACCAGTGAAGGGCAGAAGGAGTTGATCCTGATGCTAGTCATCCCTTCTTTACAAGCAGCAGACTTTTAGAAATTATTAGCAGATCTATGCCAGGCCCATTTATAACTCAGCCATAAATTTATTTTTATGATTCCAAGGAGATAGGTACTACTTAGTTGTGCTCCATAATCCTCAGTGTCTAGGGCTGATATATGTAAGCTAAACACTGGTCAGTATTTTGCATGCATTTTTTCATCAAAAGCTTAGTTTAGCAAAGAGTGGAATTGAACCTGAAGAGCAGCCTACAAAAAGGGAAAAAGTCGAAGGGTGAAAATTAACTGGCAAATAAGTGAAAAGATGCAGACCAATGAGTCAAAAGTCTTGATGACACAAGAGGCTGTCATTGTGGGAAACATTTTGAAGTTTCCCAAGTGGCACAAATACCACAGACCAGTTTAAGTGGCTGAATTTTGAGTTTCTAAAGCATAGAGAAATATTTTTAAATTGTGACCTATATGCAATCACTGTCACTGAAATCAGGATTTATAAAGGAACCGTTTTTAGTCATAATAAGGGCTGTGGTCTGGTTAGAGTAGAATCAGGACTACTTACTCTCTGAGATTAGTTTTCCTAGCTTTCATTCAGACTTTTGATTTCCTTCTGCAGTAAAAAATGTCATGCCATTTTCCCCAGAGATTTTCTTGCAGTTGGGTTTT